TAAGGTCTCATCCGAAGTACCGGTCTCCACGCCCCCCAGTGGGATTCGAACCCGCGACGTAAGGATCAACTCCTTACTCCGCGACTCGAATAAGAAACAGAGTAAAACAATTAATATGTTCCAAAACTTCGTTTGGGGAACATAATGATAACAACACTAAATGATAACAACACAATAGCTAAATTGACTTGTTTCTTAAAACAAAATACTTCAACTTTTACTTGTAACAGTGATGTTAATAATTGGTATTACATGATAAAGCCTTGAATATAGATCAACCCTGGTAAGCATATCTGTTTAATATATAAATTCTTTCAAGAATTGATTTGAATTGAATTTAAAAAATAATTGATTTAAAAAATAGTAAAACAAATGTAACCTTTTGACTTGGAACATTTCCTAAATTCTATTTCCTAACTCTATCAGTATTAGGGGATCAAAATGACATTAAAACAGCATTATGAGCATACTCTAGTACAGTTGTATTTTGATTTCTAGTTTCAAAGCAAAAAACAAAAACCAAAAAAAAAATTCAAACAAACAAACAAAAAACACTAATTACAGTCTCACCTCAAAACAATGTATTTCCGATTTTCCTTTTGTCAGTCTCTTTTAAAAAATAATAGAACAATATAGAATATAGAAATAATTGACGTCCTTTCATTAGGTCATTCCATAGATAGAAATATTTAACGACCTAACACTGTCAAGCAAATGTTCTTGAGCAGCCAATATTTTCCAATATCTGAAGTAGCTTAACCCTTGATTTTTAACTCTGTGACCTTAAAAATCTATTTGATGTCTAACGCAAAGGTTCTCAAAATATTGGGCGGTGATTATCTTCTTATGTCCAGTTGACTTCATCAGCACGGGTCATGTACTCATAAAAGGGGACCAATGTACGAAGTTTGATGTCTGTCAAATTATGTATAGCTTGACCTTTGACCTTGAAATCTCAAAATCATGATCAATTGGTATCATCTCCTCTTCAGGGGATACCCGTTTACGGAGTTTAATGGGATCTCAACATATTGAGACAACATTTGGTCTACCGACCGACCGACCTACAGGTGTAAAGCTATATCCTTTTTTTCAAATGAGCATAAAAGTACAATAGACTGTTTGTACAATGAACAGCGTCTACAATTAGTGATATAACCGGTTACTCAGTCGGAACGATGGTAATCGGTTACAAAACCTGTAACTGGTAAGTCGGAAAAAAATAAAATATTTGCAAATTTAAACTGAATTTCCACCAATTTTCACCTATCTATTTAAGCTGATTCGGAAATAATTAAGGCTCTCCGAACTGACATTTGCCAGTTTTCAAGATATTAGTTGCTGTTTAAAAACACCATGTCGTTACCCAGTCTGTTCCGTGTTTTTTCGATTTTTTTTTAAATGATTATGGAGCAATATGATTTAACTGCTTATGACATGTATCTCATCTCTTCTATCTTTTGCAGTTACGTATCAATTGCAAATTATATTATTAAACATTCAACATTGTAAATAAAGCGATAGTTCAAACTTAGTTCTGATTATGGGGACAATGCAGAATGAGCTTGTGTGACATTTAATCTGATTCTTTTTAACGTATCTTATACTTAAGGCATTTTTCAAGGGTTTCTTAATTTTTTAATAAAAATTTATGCCCTTGTAATCGAAGATCCGGGGGTATATAGTTTTTGCCACGTACGCCTGTCTGTCTTCCGTAAAATCTTTAACCTAGGCCTTAACTATTGATTGGTTGGAGCTATGGCTTTCATATTTTACATGTACATTCCTTGTGACAAGACCTTTCTTTGGGTACCAACATATTTATCTTTGGTCATAACTTTTGAACAGCTTGTGCTAGGGCTTTCATATTCATCGTGACAAGACCTTTCCATGCGTGTAAATATTTTTTTTTACCTTTTGACCTTGACTTTAGAGTTTGACCCACTTTTAAAAAACTTTAACCTTGGCCATAAATTTTAGACAGTTAGCATTAGAACTTTCAAATTTCAACAGTTGGTGCTAGGGCTTTTATATTTTGCATTTGTATTTATTATGACAAGGTCTTTCCCTGCGTACCATTAATTTTGACCCTGACCTAGGAATTTGACCCAGTTTTAGAAAATATTTATCTGGACCGTAACGTTTGGATGGTTGGTGCTTTTGCTTTCATCTTTACCAGGTATATCCTTTGATACAAGTCCTTTCTCTGGGTAAGAACATTTTTTATCTGTTGACCTTGGGGTTTGTTGTTTAATCCCTCTCAAATTTCTTTCACTCATATGGAGACGCCACCACTTGAGCTGCAAATTTTGACCTATGCTCGGCACTCAGGGGCATTGAGCAATGAGGGATTTGAGATGCCAGCACCTACTGCGACATTGGACCTCGGTTTATACGGTCTCATCCGAAGGACAGGCTTCGGGGCCATCAACACATAAAAATCTCAGCTCAAATCTCAACCTCAAATCTTAGATTTCTGCCTCAGCTGAGATTTTCCTAAAACACCTTGCCACCAACGTTTCTGAGATTCGTCTCACGTAAGCTGAGATTTGAGAAAAATCTTAGACTTATTCTCATTGTTATATGCGACCTTTTTTCTTATAATGCACGAATTTTTTTAATCAATGATTGAATTTACCTTTCAGTTAGTTGTTTATGCAATATTTTGGTGTATAATCACGAAAATACACATTCTCCACTCCCTTCGTCTTTTATTTGCTGTTTCGAGTCATTCAAAGGAAAGGATTCCATTACGATCTTTGCAACAATAAATATTCACCGAGTCCCCGTAAAATAATCCCTACAGATGAATAACACAAAAACATATCCAAACTTTATAGTCTTTGCTCGTCTGTCGACAAAAACACACAAAAATATACACCAAGGCGTCACTTCCGCCATTGTGACGTTACGTGTCGGAAGATTACAAAAAGTAGATGGGCGGATCAAGACTATATTTGCTGGTCGATTATACATTTTTTTTCTTTGATTTTGTTTTGTAAGATATATGATTTGTCAGATATATCTTTTACATTTTATTCTCCATAGCAAAAATATTTTCGGTAAAGGGACTTTTTGTCCCTATTTAGAATATAACCCCCCACCCCCAAAAAATAATAATTTAAAGCGATCAAAGGAAATAAATTTTACCGCCGAAAAAATGATTTAAATACTGCCAACTCAGAGAAGAGAAGAGACTACATTAGTACATACTACGATCCACTGTAAGAAAATGTCATAGAAAAATTAACCTTTTTTTCAGATGACAACGAATATAGTGAACAATATGCGTTGTTACACTGGAAACCCAAATCAATCTCACATACCCTCACCAAGTGACGATTAATTAACTGATTATTTCCTATTATCATATCGTAAATAGAAGTTTCACGACTCAATCATGTAATGTTTGAAACTAAGGACCATTCTTGTTTGTTTGGTTTTTTTTTATTTATTTAAAAATGTAAGTGGTCGTATTAAGAAAAAAGATCACTGTAAGTTCTTGTGATTTATACATGTACTTTAGAATGGTTATGAGTCAGGCTTATTCTTATAAATAATATGAACGGTCAAGGATTTTTGTGTGTGATGCACTGTGAGTATAAAGTAGATCCCCAATTCTCAATTAAGAATTTTATCAGTTTATAGAATGATTTAGTTAAGAATCAAATTAGACAGACTGTTATCATCAGTGATTAATAAATGGTGATTTGTAAATTATTTTGAAAGCTTAGCAAAATACGTACACAGAATTTTAGACAACATTCTTTAGCGTATAATTTGCGTATAATTTACACCAGCGAATATTGTACAAGTAAATAATATAACTACCGGAGAAAAAACAAAGAAGAGGCCGTGGAGGTTTGATATTTTATCTAAGTCATATTTCCTTTTTTGATATACATGTACATTGTGAATTAATGATTTGCCTAACCATAAATAGCCCACTAAAATATGAATTTAATCAATTAAACTAATTCCTGTATGAATGAGGCATAGCGTGCCACAAAAATATTGCTTTTTATTCTTTATTTATTCTTCTTTTTTTCATTCTTCTTTTCTTTTGGTAAAGTTTCAAATGCATTGTTTCAATGCGTGAACAATATATATAAGATTTTTTACATGTGAGTAACCCCCCCCCCCCTTCTTAAATACGTATATCACAAGATGATCTTGTTTTGGGAGAAAATAATATGTTTCTGTATTTGTATGTTAATTTCGTGTATTCAAAGAAAAAAATATGCACTGTCATATCACTTGTAACAATTTTACCAATACAATAATTCTGTGAGATTTTATTTGAGATTACTAATAGATGTACCAATCTCAAGATTTTCTGAGAAAACTCAGATTTTTTCCTCAGGTGAGTCAGAAAAAAAGTTGGTGGCATGCACGTTTGAGAAAAATCTCAGATTTGAGAAAAATCTCAGATTTAAGAAAAAACTCAAAAGATAAGTCTGAGTTTGAGAAAATATTTTAAAATTTGGTGGCACAGTTTGGTGAGAAACACTAAAATTTTTTGAGAAATCTCAGATTTGAGAAAATCTCAGCGTTGGTGGCCCCGAAGCCAGGTCTCCACGTGCCACAGTGGAATTCGAACCCGCGACGTAAGGATCAACTCCTTACTCCGCGACTCTACAGCAGACGCTTTTACCATGCGGGCGACTACCTTGGAGTTTGACTTGCATTTGAGAAACTTTACCCTTAGCCATAAGTTGCCATACGGGGGCATCACTGTTTCACAAATACATCTTGTTTGGCCATTAAAATTGGAATAAATAATACATGTATATAGTGCTCTGATCCAAAAGAAACAGAACATCATTAACACCTTTATAGTCGATCAATAGCTTAGAGATAACAATGATGAAATATGTCAAGAGTTTTTGATACGAGATTAACCGAGTAATCGGTCGGAAAATCTTGCGGTTCACCAATTGGCAATTTTGTATTCGTGACCAAATCTATCTACATGTACAATGTATCTACTTTTTCGCTACCTCGAATACCTTCATAAAAAATTTATTCCATTCGTTTGAAGTTTCATATGGACTGGAAACGTTGTCGCTGCGAAAGTTTTTTGTCAATGAAGTCTTCATTGCTTGTTTTATGTTTGGTTTATCCTGTCAATAGAAATATTGTGCATGTAAATATATTTTAATCAAATGCTGAAAAGGAATATTAATGCTGATAAGGAATATAATACATGGGTAACTACATATTTATGGAGCACGAACACAGATTGGACTCTCAAACCTATAGACTGGTCAGTAAATTCAATATATGTACCTTAATGCTGGGAAAAAATATATATATTCCGCATGTTAAATGATATTAATTCATTTGTTTCCATCATTTACCTTCTCGAAATCCAGATTCCTCACTGATGATAACTTGTCCAGGTATAAGATTATTACTGTTAAGACTACCATATACGCGATAAAGCCCAAGGACGTTTTTAACTGAAAAAGATATAACAGCTGTTCTGTTAACTGCAAATCGATGTTTTTTTTTTAAGTATACATACATACTAACTAAATTTTTCTCATCATGATGTGTAAACAATCAAATGCAATAGATTGCATTCCGGTCCAGGACACAATAAAGGATAGAACCAAATGAGGAAGAAATAACTCCTAATTGCTGCCAGGTTTTTTCTAATTCTTAATTAGTCCGTTCACGGTAGCTCAGTCGGTAGAGCGCTCGCTCCATGATCGGGAGGTCGTGAGTTCAAATCCCGGTCGCGACTGACCTATAAGTCAATAAAATATGGGTAGCAACTGTTCCTTCGCCATGCGCTCGGCACTTTGAAGTGAAAGTTGCGGATTCTTGAGATGAGACCTTAAAAACCGAGGCCCCATGTCACGGCAGACGTTGGCAATATAAAGATCCCTCACTGCTCAAAGGCCCTGAGTGCCGAGTAAGGATCAAAATTTGAAGCCATTCACCGGTATATGGTGACGTCTCTATATGAGTGAAAAATTCTCGAATGGGATGTAAAACAAGATACAATCAATCATTCTTATTCTTCAATAATATATTAAACAGAAATTGGCATTGAAAACAATTTTGCCGCTATACAAATAAGTAAAATGTACAACATTTCTTCACATGTACTAACTATATGATTTTTATCCAACGAGTTATGTTTCTTTTACCTAAAGAAGACAAGGAGTTTGATAATCAATGGAAACCTGGCAGCGTGGCAGAACAACAAAATTAAGTAATGCCATATGAAATAACTTCTTTTAGTAGAATCTATTCCATTGATTTATAGGTACATATACATGTACTTATATATAGAGTTATAATAAAATGAGTAACAACTTATCGTAAATGTTACTTTCGATCGAATGTGAATAGTACGCCCAACTACTAAAAATAAAAAATTCTGTAAAATTCCTTTAAAATGCTACTCCTCCTACAGTTTTGGTGTGATTTCAATATAACTTGGCACACAAGTAGACTACACTTGGATACAAAATTTCGTGCATCGCTTTTTGATTTCGATGAACGGTGTTGCCATGGTTTTTAAAAATAGAAATTTCTGTAAAATTCCTTTAAAACGCTATTCCTCCTACAGTTTTGGTCTGATTTCAATATAACTTGTCACACAAGAAGACTACACTCAGATACATAATCTAGTGCATCGATTTTTGATCTCGATCAATGGTGGTGCCATGGTTACTAAAAATAGAAATCTGTGAAATTTCTTTTAAACGCTTCTCCTTTGTCAGGTTCGGACTGATTTCAGTATAACTTGGAACACACGTAGATTACACTAAGATACATAAGTAAGTGCATCGTTTTTTTTTATTTCGATGAACGGTGTTGCCATGGTTACTAAAAATAGATATTTCTGTAAAATACTTTCAAAACGCTACTCCTCCTACAGTTTTGGTCTGATTTCAATATAACTTGTCACACAAGTAGACTACATTAAGATACATAATTTAATGCACCTGCTTTTATTTCGATGAGCACTATTGCCATGGTTTTTAGCTCTACTGGTCAGAGACTAGAAGAGCTTATACGATAGTAAGGTGTCCGTCCGTCTGTCTGTCTGTTCTGTAAACAATTTTTCAAAACCCTACCCCTCCTACAGTTTTGGTCTGATTTCAATATAACATGACACACAAGTAGACTACACTAAGATAAATAATTTATGGCATCAGTTTTTGATTTCGATGAACGGTGTTGCCATGGTTACTAAAGATAGAAATTTCTGTGAAATTCATTTAAAACGCTACTCCTACAGTTTTAGTCTGATTTCAATATTACTTGGCACACAATTAGACTACACTAAGATACATAATTTAGTGCATCGGTTTCTGATTTAGATGAACGGTGTTGCCATGGTTACTAAAAATAGAAATTTCTGTGAAATTCCTTTAAAATGCTACTCCTCCTACAGTTTTGGTCTGATTTCAATCTAATTTGGCACACAATTAGAATACACTACTATAAATAATTTGTATTTCGTTTTTTGATTTCAGTGAATGGTGTTGTCAAAGTTACTAAAAAAAATGAAATTTCTGTGAAATACTGTCAAAACGCTACTCCTAAAGTTTTCGTTTGATTTCTCTCTCTCTTTCTCTCTCTCTCTCTCTATAACACACACACACACACACCCCCTCACATACACACACATATATATATATATATATATATATATATATATATATATATATATATATATATATATATATATATATACATGTATATATATATATATGGCACAGAAGTAGACTACATTAAGATACATAATTCTATTTATTGTTGCATATTGCAAAGTTTCAAATCCAGCTTTTCCTTTGTTATACGTACAGACCAGTAGAGCTATAGTCTCATCAGAGACTTCGGGTTAAAAATCGAAATTACTGTGAAATTCCTCGAAAACGCTACTCATGCTACAGTTTTTGTCTAATTTTTATATAATTTGGCACACAAGTAGACTACACTAAGATACATAATTTAGAGCATTCATATTCGATTTCGATGAATGGTGTTGCCATGGTTATAAAAAATAGAAATTTCTGTGAAATTATTTGTAAACACAATTCCTCCTACTGTTCTAGTCTGATTTCAATATAACTTAGCACACAAGTAGACTACACTAAGATACATAATTTGATGAATTGGTTTTTGATTTTGGTAAATGGTTTTGCCTTGGTAACTAAAAATAAAAATTTCTTTGAAATTCCTTTAAAACATTACTCCTGCTTTAGTTTTAGTCTGACTTCAATATAATATTTTCTCATTTTTATGCAAATTTTCATCAATTTTACAGCACATTTTGTTTCAGAAAACATAGAGCACAAGCTTGCCTATCTACCAAACTTATGTATTTCATACACAAGTATCAGAGGCATCTTATATATAAAAATCTCAGATAGGCAAGCTTGTGCTCTGTGTTTCCCGAAGTGAAAAGTATTTCAAATTTCACGAAATTTCACCAGATTAGAAGAAATTCGGGAAAATGTCCCACTTCTGCACTCTCTTGTGGCCTTAGTGTAAGCTTTGAATCAGAATTAGTGCTGGTTTTAAAACAAGCATCATTTTAAGTTTTTAACTACAAACTATCACAATTTTAACTGTGTTCTGATTTTTACATCAAACAAGGGGCCAGATTCGGCCGTTACCATACCTTGTCCTTTGGGATACAATTAGACTACACTACGATACACGATAGTGTACAGTATATCGGTTTTTGATTTCAGTGAATGGTGTTGCCATAATTACTTAAAATAGAAGTTTCTGTAAAATACTTTCAAAATGCTACTCCCCTACAGTTTTTGTTTGATTTCAATGTAACTTGTCACACAAGTAGACTACATTAAGATACATAATTCTATTTATTGCTGTGTGTTGGAAGTTTCAAATCCGAGTGCTACTTTTCTTTTGTTATACGTACAGACCAGTAGAGCTACAGTCTCATTAGAGACTTCTGTTTTTTTCTGAATGGGAAATACAAACATCGTTTAAAATGATTTTAGATATCGTAAAAGGATAAGATTTGAATATAAACTACTAAAGAATGCTTGCATTTCAATAAACATCTTTGCGCTGCTGTTATTATTAATTATTGAAGATTTTTCCCATATATTCCCCAGTAAAGCTTAAATATCCTTTTGTGATCTTACCCTTCCGTCACGGCTCTAATTTGTACACAAGACTAATCATTCCCCCGCTGTTCTTCGTTTTTTAATTTTATTCTTCCTGTACATTTCCAATAAATTCCTCCTATGATTCTTTACAAAATGGAATACAGTTCATTTTCTCATGAACTACCATGAATAGGCATGAATATCTCCATTGTTACGTCATAATACCTTACTTGACGTCAAAACTATAGTGCAAACTGTTTTGCTTTAAAAATGACAGTTGAATGACACTATATGTGGTAAATCATCAGAAGAATAATGTAAATATAAGAAATGAATTTAATTTTTGAAAATTCATGAGGTACATGAACTACAACGCTTCGAGCCGGCATATTTATCATCAAGAGTAAACACGCTTCAAGAAATATGCCGGTGTGAAGCGTCGTAGTTCATGTCTTCATGAATCTTCAAAAATTTGATTCATTTCTTAAATAAACTCGAATGTCATTTTTTGGCCCCACCCTACCCCAGTCTGAACAAACTTGAATCTGCACCACCTGAGGATGCTTGCATTATAAAGTGTAATATAATTGATTGTGACCCTGAATTTCTTTGAAAAAAAAATATAAATAACAGTGGGACGGACAACTTCGGAATGGACATTTTTCCGAACTTGCGCACCCATTTCCTTTAAAGATATTATCTTAGGGGTTTTTTTAATGGTGGGGTTTTTATTTTTAAATTGAGTTATGAAATAAAAAATCAAACATTTTTAGCTAGTTTTTGAGATATTACGTGGCAAAGATAAAAATCCCATGGGGAAACATGTACTTAAAATTACCCCATGAAAAACCACACAAAAACCCCATGGGGTTTAAAATTTTCCCCATGGGGGAAATAAACCCATATAACCTTTCGTGGGGTTTTTAAACCCATATATGACTAAAAATTAAATGTGGGTTTTTTTCACACGTTTTTGTTGCATAGGGTAAAAAAACCCATGCATGTAATCTTCATAATATATCATTCTTTGATTTCATGATAATTGGAATGAAGAAGACATTAATTATCGTCTAATGTTTTATTTTCAAACTTATTTCCTAAGATACAATAATTTCAGACATGTCTGTTCTCAATTTTTTTCAATATTTTTAAAACCTGGTTAGTATAGCAAAATCATTTATTCTTAGAGATAACAAATACTGTTTATTAATTAATTCATAAATTATGTCCCACTTCCCTTGGATCTCCCACTCATAAGAAGAGACCCTTGGATCCACCAATAACTTCTTTGAATGTATTTATGACTCATGTTGCATATATTGATTTTCTATATGACTTATTCATATAAAGAATAA